TATTTATAATATAATAATATTTATAAATATATAAATATAAATATATATAAAGGTTTTATACAAAAACACCAAGTATGGCAAGAGAACAGATGCCTAAGTGCTACAGTTTCCAAAGGAGGCAGAGATGATGTTTATTTCCAAAGGCAGGGAAGTATCCATTCCTGTGGTCTATAAAATTGGATAAAGTGTAGACAGGATAAAATGTGGGTATAGCTTTGCACCTGGAGTGAAGAGCATGACAGAGTTTGGGGGAATGAAACCCAATGAATATGATTGGAGAGCAGCTGTTCCATTTTGATTCATCTAGTCACTTAAAAAATAATAACTGAATACTTCTACGTTCAAGACATCGTATTAAGTGGTGAACAAAGTTGTGAGCAAAAACAGACACCCTCTGTATTCTCATGGAGCTTCCACTCAGATGGGGAAGGCAGGCTTTGGTCAAATAATCAAGGGAATGGATGTATAGTTATAACGAGGGATAAATGTTCTCAAGGAAAGTGTTCTATTAGAACGGTTGTCAAAACAACCTGACCTCAACTGGGGAGTTGGGGAAAATTTTCCTAAAGAATTGATAGTGGGGCTGAGATCTACAAGAGGAGTGGAAAGAGGTCCAAGCAAAGAAGACAATGTGCTCAACGCCCTGTGTGGGAAGGGCTGTGGCAAGGATGAAGCTGTGGACAAGGTCATGTGGCTGGACACGGAGAATGAAGAGTGGTACAAGATGGCCTGGAAAAGGAGGCAGGGGCCAGACTATAAGTCGTGATGTCCAGGTCAAGGGTTTGATTCTTTAGGCCAAGTGCCAGGGGAATCCAAATGTGCGTTTTTAAGAAAACTTGGTCTCTGGTGTAGAAAACAGATTGAAGCAATGGATTCTCATCAATAGAATAGAGGACGAGAGGAATGTAGAGCTGAAACTCTAAGTTGAGGTCATGTTATGAGAGGTCTTCAATGGCAGGATAAAGACTGTGACTTCATTTTATAGGTAACAGAGAGCCATGAGAGTTTCTGAGGAAAGAAATGATAGGATGTGACCCAGT